GGGGGGGGTGTTTCGATTCGTACTTGAACGAGTCGAAAATTTCATATTGTCAATTAACAATACAAATCGTTTTAGCATTTTAAATTACAGACGTCCGTACGTTCAAACGTTAGGGTGGGGCAAACTATCAAATAACGATTTGCATCCCCAAACGTTTAGAAATCTCCGGACGTTTCATACGGTTAGACGTCTAGGAAATAACTCTAACTTACATTTTGTATAGGCGAGGTACTTAGTCCGTATTTAAGCCTAAATTATCCGCCAAATATGTAAATGTCAAGAAGGTACTTAAAGATTGTACCTCCCTATTAGGTATTCTTCCAGCTTATTTCTAAATGTCTTTAATAAAAAAAAACATTGTAATGGGATGCTTAATACTGGTCTATCATCCCGTCACCATCACCTCACTATTACTACCACTATCAATATCATTATTACCACCGCTATTAACATCGTCGTTGCTAGTATCCTAATTTATTTTTATATTGTTATAATAGCGTCTCTTCTATACTATAGTAATTCTAAAAAATACTATCATTCCGTTCCCTCTCGTCTTTTTATTAATATACGCAATATCTCTTCCCAACAACAATACTACTATAATACAGTTTCTCCAAATATATATAATATATTAATTCTTATATTTTACTATACTAATTATGTAAAAAGAATATCGATCCTACTTTGCTCCAGAATATAATATAGTAATAGTAGTAGCAATAGTAGTAGAGTAAGGCCCCTACCGCCGATATAGGCTAGACTAAGAAATCCAATAGTACCCCCCTTTCTGGCTAATGTAATAACGATGACGAAGAAGAAGAGGAAGAAGAGGAAGATAAAAACGATAATAATAATAATAATAATAATAATAATAGAACTAAGGTGGTATGTACTGCGCGTATTAAGCGCTTTGTTATTAAGAAGAATACGAAGAAGACGGTGGACGAGGATAACGATGACGATACTAGTACTAGCGAGGTAAATAAGGGTATAGAATAGAATAGCTGTATAAAGAGGGAGGGATATTAGGAGTACTTTCTATATAGAAAGCTGAAGGGTACTTATATTAACCCCCTCATCGAGCAAGTCTTTAAGGAGAAGTTAGTAAGTATATATAATAGCTAACTATATAATTCGAACTAATATATACTAATTTACTATATAGGATAAGGATTCGACTATTCAAATTAAAGTTCGTAAGTCCCTTATGCGTATAAATAGGCGGTTTTAAAATAAAATTATAGATAAGACCCTTATAAATATATATTTACCTCGGAGTTATATTTATATTTTAGTAATAGTGTATATTAACTAATATATATAGGTATAGATTAAGTATTGGCTATCGGACGTCAACCGGGCGTAGATTATAAATATAGCCGAAGTTAATAAGGCTGATATCGTTAAGGCTATTAAGGATAGTTAGAGTTTCGATAATTTCTAGTTGATTTACTACTATATAAAGGATTACCTAGACGCTAAGAACTCTACTACTCTAGGTAAATACTATTGTAAGGGTAAGTTAAATTATAATTATAGTTATATATATAGGTAGAGGTATATTAATATATATTATTTTAGAGATATAGTTTGTATTGGTCTGGAGGGTTATTGAATACCTCCGTTTATCCAAAGATCCTAGGATAGAAGCTGGCGTTAAGAAGATACTCCTTAATAAGTATAAGGAGATCCCTACGTATAAGAACTATAATAAAATTCGGCGCTATTACTTCCTTGAGAGGACCCCTACCATTAGGGTACTACGCAGAAAGGTAAGCATAATATTATAATAGTAGTATAATGTCCAGCAATTAATAGTAAAAAAAAAAAAACGATAAAGAATAAGGGCCAATATTAAGGCTATCTATACCGAAATAGACGATATTATAGACGCCCCGCCCGAGGACGATACCCCCGCCCCTAGTAGAAAGAAGTAGAAGATGGGCAAGGGTAAGAAGGCCGGTAGTAATAAGAAGGGGGCTGAAAAGAGGAAGGAAACGGTTAATATTCCTAGTAATATTAATAATAAGGATCTTTTTATATAGTATTATTATATCGTTATTATCTTTCCTTTTTCTTTTCCTATTTTTTTTCTTTTTCATTTTCTTTCTTTTTTTTTCACTTTTTTTTTTCATATACAACATCCTAATGCTCATCTCCTTGTATTATATAGTATATAAGTATATTAATTTTTTTCCCTTCTTTCAAGACATTATTACTGTAAAATATATGTACTGCTGGTAACCGTAATATAAAAAGGGGTTCGGTTTTGCTGTAGTATCTAGGCGGGCCGGAACAAGTAGACTATAAAGCAGACAACCTCACATTAACCGTATTGTATATTCAATAATAAAATAAAATTGAGAAATATAAAAAGGGGAGTATTAAAATACTTACAAATTTTTAATTTTTAATTATTATTCAAATTTACTATTATAGCTAGTATTTACTAGATAATTAGTATAGTCACGTATTGAAATAGTACTACCGGCGTAGGCAGCGAAGCCTATAATTTTATACTAAATTTTAAAATTTTAACGAAAGCTCGGCGGCCAAACTTCCCTTAATTACTAAAATCTTACTAAGCGCCTACCTTTACTTTTACTAACCGCGTACAAACCTCACCTCGTACAACCCCGGCCTCACCTCACCTCGCGACTATACAATAACTTTACCTTATAATAACCGTATATAAATAGAATACCCTTATACTAAGTAAATACATCGAAATAAATCGATAGAAGAGAGGACTAAAGCGCTAATCCGCCTAAGCGACCGCGTCTAAGCTAT